AATAAGTCCCAAATTTATATATTAAGTTAAAGTTAACGCATATCCTATGGGGTATTGTAGGCTTGCGGTAGTTTTTGTATGATATGTTCGAAAAAAAATTTATCATTAACAGTTTCTTGATTCATATAACTTGCCCAAAATGTTGAATTCATTTTAATCCAATATATTCATCTCGATTTTTCTTATATAAGTTGAAAAAATTAGTTCAGTTGTTGGGAAATGTGTATTCAGTAAATTTATGAGCTTAAAAATCGATAGTGATATCCGCAGTAATAGATCGATATGATTTATCTAAATCGAAAGTGTTGCGTTGAAAGTAACGTGTACAGAAAACTCCCATATAGTTAGTATACGAGTCGCATATTATGAGATACGTTTATCATGAGTCTGGGCTGTGTAATGAGACATATGTAATGTTGTTTGTAAACGTAATGCCATACATTGAGAATTACATGCAAGGGTGAGCGAGATAGGATTGGACAACGATTTGGGAGACAGAGATAGCAAATTTTTACATTCTGTCGCACCAAATAAATAGACCATTAAATTGTGCATAAGAATTGAGAAAAACAATCTGATTTTTTTTTTCACTTTTTGGGCTCCATATTGAGTCTCCGAGAGTTTCATCTAAGATTGCCAAACAGTTTGAAAAACATGGAAGACCGTTGTAATGGCAAATGCCAAATATGCACGGACGTAGAACAGTGCCATTCCGAGAATGTAATGATTAGATAAAATGGTGGACTTTTTAAGAATAGAAAATTCTTCCGATTTGCTATGGTCATCGCTTATAGGGTCACGTAACGGTAATTAAAATGCAAAGATTTTTTCGGTTAGTATTTTTGAAGCGCATCGATTTATGATTTTTAAGTTAATCACACTGGGGAAAAGATAATTGCGATTGAAGAGAGCCCAAAGAGTTTTTTTTTTTCAAATTCGACCCAAATTTGTCGATCAAGATATTTTTCGGCCATCAAATCCTTGGGCTACACACTGAGAATCATAATCTGTGTAATCTATAGAATCGTCGGGAATCGTTGATTGTAATATCATCTAGTACACTGTAAAATAGAAGGGATTAAATATTAATCATTTGGGATTTTTCATCAAAATAATCCAAAAGGATTAAATTTTAGCACTGTAGGATTAAATTTAAATACTTACTAATTGTAGCGAATTGTAGGACCACGTTGAAATCCCGCACAAAACCCAGGGCATACGGCCGAGAGCTCCGCGCTTGATCCAGATGAGAACGCAATGTTCGTTGTGTTGTTTGTTGATTCTGAAAATGACAATGATTATATCAATTTCTAAATATGAACGTAAATTAAAAGTATGTGTACCCATATGAAACCTCAACGCTATGCGCGTCAAATCGACGTTATTCGACGCTATTCCATGTGTATATAGAATTGTACATTATGTTTTACAGTGCTGTACAAGCATGCGGCCTTATACACAGTAACACACGAACTCCGTTTATGTGCGCGCGTTGCCTGTTATGTTTTGTGTATTGAATTGCGACTCAATCATAGTAGACGGCGCAGGCACTGTAAAACATAATGTACAATTTCATATATGTATACACATAGAATAGCGTCGAATAACGTCGAGTTGACGCGCATAGCGTTAAGGTTTCATATGGGTAGCTTCAATTGATTAGATAAATTCAAAGCAGAAATATTGAAATGATTACATACTTGATTGGATGCTGCTCGTCTTGATTGTCGAGCTCGTGCTGGTGGTGCTGGCGGTGGATCTCCTCCTCCTGCATTTTCTTCTTCTTCTTCAACATGCCGTTGAAATGCTGGATGTAGCTCTATATTCATAACAGCACACCATCCTGTTTGTTTGTAAGGAATAAAAAAAAAACGAATTCATTGTCTATTGTTCATTGACTTGTTCATTGACTTGTTCATATTAAACTGAGAGCATATCAATTTAACAAACACAAACCTTTGTAGAGAATGTTACGACCTGCATTTGCATCACGATTCCAGGTGATAGTACGCCCAATTCGAGTTTTCTCTTCATATTTACGAAATTTTGATGCCATACGTGGACCATCAGTACGGGGACGATGTTTTCGTTGCTGCGTCAATTTGCGATTGCTTTTTCGTGATTCAATCGGACCTTGGGCTTTTCCAAGCACATTTTCTCCACACAATGGTTCGCATCCATGGCATGTGAGATAGCGATATTTCTCCTTTACTTTGCCTCTTTTTGTCGGTTTTTCAAGTTCACGGAAGCACAACGAACATAATTTGGTCGTCCGAAATTCGTCCACCTCGACCACTGTACATTTACGGCGACGTTTCAACTTCTCGAACAAATCTCGCACCTTCGATCGAATATATCCTCGGGCTGGTGAATCTGCCGCAATGAAAAGATCACCGACAAATATGAACGTTTGCTTACCATCGATGAGCTTGGTTGCATATGCATCAAGTGCTCTATTCGTGTCAATGTACTGGAGAAATGCTTGCAAAGCGTATTCATACTGTGTGTATGCTGTGAACTTTTCTTCAAAATGATGCAAAATATGATCAGCATATGATTTATGGTCTTCGGCTCGTGGACCAGGCTGCTCATCAAATGACTCACGATGTAGACGCATCTTTTCATCGATTTCA